AATCGAACAGAAACTCTTTATGCCCTCCATTGTCAAATGCGGACATTTGTATGTTTCACTGAAGATGGAAGGGCAAGGTAATTGTCCCTGTTTGATATAGAATCGGAGGGCCGAGTTTTAGTTATTGTGATATCACTCTGGTGTCACTTCCCGAGAAACTGTTCTCGTCGATTATCATGGCAAAGGATATGGCACACAGTTGATTGGAGACTTTCCCAAAATCAGTTGATCTTACGGATGGGGTGCCGCTCTGACCAAATTTTTACTGTTCATGCGATCAATGAGCAAGGCCGACGATTCTAGTTGCCTTCGTTTGCCAATTTCTTCAATTTCAGGGCTGTCACTGCATCGTTTAACGCTGTGGTCAATCTTAAGATGCTATTGGATATCTGTATTCTTAATTTACATTTTCAGAAAGATGTATGCAGGAACCAAATCTGTTTTCAAAGTCGAAGAATAGTAATTTCAGTGGCTGTTTATTAACTGGATATCGCCAGCGAGTGGTGCTTTCATCTTTGCTATTCAACATTGTTCTCGGCAGTTTTCTCCGAATCAGTGTTGATCCGGCAGAAACGAAGGTCTCGTTCTAAAATTTCTAAGTCGCAGTTCGCAGTATCCAACTAAACATTTTAGCTAGATATCTGCAGTTGATTTTGTCCTAGTGAGTTGGGCAGGGAGCATGCTCTGTAATCTGACAACTTCATTATGCAGCACAGTTCAGAAGGTTGCCATGTGCCAGGACACCCGTAAGTCCAGAGTTATGGGAAATCCACAAGATGTAACAAATCGGCAGGTAAAACGACGAAAATTGTTCATCTCGATTTCATCACTTCTAGTGACGGCATCATTTAACCAGACTCAGTAACAGTTTCCATGACCGTTTATCCTTACGGTTCTCAGAGGCATGCGCGTAAGGTAATGCCTCAATTGAAGTACTTCTATGGTCTCCCTTTCTAAACAGGGGCACTAAAATCCTCGCTCTGTATTCCACTGGTATCCTATACGTAACCACTTACAGAAACGTGTTTGAAACAGTATGAATTGTCTGCATTTTTAAGCTTCTTATGACTTATCTGTTCTTCACGCGACATTTCCTGGTTGCCCTTGTCTAAAGAGTTCTTCAAAGTACTTTCTCCGTCGCTGAAGTATTGCATCTTACTTACTTAAAGGATTCTGGGCTTGTCCTTCAGGACTCTTAGAATTGCCTACTTTCTGTCTCTGACGCGCACTACCAGAATACCATTTTTGCTGTCTGGAAATTGCACTCAATCACCTCACGGAACATTATCCAGGAATGAGTTTTCATTCTTGTCTCTCGAGCTGAAGCCGCTTTGCTTCCAACTCATCTCTTGAATTCAACCTTATTTTCTTTGACAACTAATTTAACAGCTTATCGATCATCGACACTTCCTATTTACACGGATCTTCTAACTGCCACTATTCCGGACCGTCCAATAACTTTTCGATGAATTTGAGTTGAGGCGTGTCCCTTAAATTGAACAGCACCCTTGGACCAAATGAGGCCATGGTTGAAGTATTACTGCTGTGCAAAACCGAGTCGAGTGGCGTGTAATGCAATTTAACTGCTTACGTTCTGCAGTAATTCAGGATTGTTGGCTTACATCCAAAATTATTCGTCTTTCAAAGTCAGCTGCTGTGAGCAAACATGAAGGCTTTCTTCCAATCGTTCTGACCTTGTTGTTACTTAAAGCACTGGAAGCCGTCATCCTACCGATTCTCATCAGTCACCTTCGAGGAGTGAAAGATGACTGGCAATTCGCTTTTACGCGGGGCAGTTTAACCCTACTGTATTGATTTGCTGGCTTCTGCTCTTGATCATGGCAGTACCATTACGAAGGTCGTCCTCTTGAACCTGTCAGTGGCCTTCAACCATGTACGACGATGTGGCCTTCTCTAC